TAAATAATAAAACTTGTGGTACACAATTTTATACAATTTTAGACATTCCATATAGATTGCATAAATTATACATTAGCTACAATAAATAAATGTTTAAACTTATCACTGTCTTTGCAATAATTTTTATGCCGCATTGCAGCCTCATATAGAGAGTGTTTCATCTGAGTTACAGTCGTAATACAAATAAGAAAATATATGGCCTGATTTGAAAAAGTGAAGTNATAATAAAACTTGTGGTACACAATTTTATACAATTTTAGACATTCCATATAGATTGCATAAATTATACATTAGCTACAATAAATAAATGTTTAAACTTATCACTGTCTTTGCAATAATTTTTATGCCGCATTGCAGCCTCATATAGAGAGTGTTTCATCTGAGTTACAGTCGTAATACAAATAAGAAAATATATGGCCTGATTTGAAAAAGTGAAGTTGACCTCAAAATATCTTTCACCATTATATAAATGAAAAAGTTGTTAATATTACGTAAGACATCTTTTTATACTGAACAGCTTCTGTATAAATATTTTTTTCGTAGTATCAACCCATTCCAAAATATTTTATTGTACTCAGTTAGATAAAACATTCTGTATACTTTCATAACATATTTATATAGCTAAATAAAATTCCAGTTTTGTGATTGAATAAAAAATTTACATAAATTACTTATTTAACTTAAAACTCAATTAAATTTACTTCTTTTGTTACTGTATTTATTGCTGTCGATGTTACAACTGAAGTTGTAAAGGAACGTACATGAGATCGGAAACTTGATGCAGACTCCCATGCTTCATCTCTAATGATACCTTGATTCCTCGGATACATAAGCAAGGGATCTTTTCCAGTTTTTTTGCATAATTTTTCTTGAAGCACTATCAACCGTGATCTCAAATATTCATAACTGGCTTGCTTTAATGCATTCACCCATTGTTCTACTTGAGATTCCGAACGTCCACTCAATACATGTCTCTTGTCATGTTCATCACGAAATGCTATACTGAATGCAAATACTCCTTCTGTTGCACTGTCAATATTAATACTATAGTTTTCTAAAACAATTACTCCAGCAGGTTGCTTTGTGTCAATTTGTCCTAACTCGTTGATATTAAAATAAAATAGCAAGTTGTATCTTAATTTAAACCATTTTTCTTTAAATCCTAAAAAACAGACAATGTCTAACATACAACAAAATCAGATATTATCGGTATGAACAGTTTTTTAACGATTATAGGTTAATAAGCATAAAGTTAACTCAAATGAATTAATGAGCTCGTAAGCAAACTAACCTGATTTGTGCGCTCGTTTATGATTTAAACGACCTTCCAGATCAGCGGGGCCACTACTTGCCTTTGCCAGTTCTTTCTCATTAAATTTCATGATGATCAAGAATTATGTATACCTTAAAACATTACTGCGTAATACAAATGTTATCGCACAGTTATAATATCTATACGATTCATCATATTGTTGATAATATCCACTATATTCATTAAAAAGTTTGGTTATAATCCCTGAAATTCACTGCCAACAGTAAACGTAGCAATCCAATATTAGGTGCTTCATTTTTTGTTCTTCGTCTTATATGCACTTTAATAATTCAGATATTTTTATCACAAAATATATTTAATAAACATTCCTGCCTTGGTATGATATTATCTACCATTATACATTCTAATAAGGTGAACACTTGTGCGTGATTACAAAGTTTGCAGAATATATGTAGTAGTGAAATTTTGAAAGGGCGCGTTTTACTATAGCAGTCTGCGAAACACGCAGGTTTATTAAATTTTAAAAAATTATTATAATAGCTAATCAATGTTGCTTTAATACGTATACAAAATTTTCTACTTTCTAAATACGTTCCTGAATGAAGTATATGTTAATATTAAATCTATTGGATTCATTATTTAAGGCTTACAGAAATAATAACAATGCGTTGTATGTAAACAAGATTGGTCAGCCTGTAAAATGGATATGCATTCTATTTCATACTGTTCATTCACATATGTACAAAAGATTGCAAGTGTCAACTAGACAAATTAGCTGTCAAAATTTACTGACAATAACTAAGATCTTTGTTCAAGAATGGATGGTTTACTTTAGTATTTACTATTTATGAATTTATTTTAGAAAAAGTACATGACTAAATTACACGAATCAGTGAAGTTCGCTTCATAGTGGCGATTTACAATTATTTTTTATATAATTAAGCGATGGGATCGCTAACCAGTCGACAGAATGCTGGCGTAGAAGAAGTTGATATCGTTTCAAATCATGCATACAAATACCCTCCTCGTTCTGGTACGTATTGAGTTATACACATTTTAGCACTAAACATTATAATATAAAAATTAATATGAAATGTTAATATATGAAAATAAATAAATAAATATTTTAATCAATTATCAAGTATTAATTTCATACATTATTTTTTTAAATACACATTGTATAGGATAAATTTTGTTATTAGGAAGCTACTTTGGTAGCCATTTCATCATGGGTGGTGAGAGGTTTGATACACCTCAACCAGAAGCATATTTATTTGGAGAAAATGCTGACTTGAATTTTCTGGGAAGCAGACCTACACCTGTAAGATATATGATATCGAATTATCATAAGGAACTACACAGAAAAAAAATGTTTAAAAATATAATTTCTATTTTAGTTTCCATATCCGCCTCCACAAGCAAATGATCCTACAAAAACATTAAAAAGTTTAGTCAATATAAGAAGAGAATCATTGAGACTAGTTCGCAATGTTGATCAAACTTCTGCTTCACCTCAATGTCATAATTTGAAACATTATGGTGATGGTGATATTGATAAGAAATCAAGTCGTTATAATATTGAATTCATATTTGACTGTGATGTACGATGTGCAATTACAATATATTACTTTTGCACTGAAGAGGTGACAACAAAAGGTGTTACGTATGTATTGGACTCAACAATAGAATTACAGCATTAAAAATCTACTTGTAAGATATTTCATATATAAATATAATTATTTATAGTTATACACCAAGAGATCCCTCAATGAACTCTGAAACATATTACTACAAAAAGGGTGCAAATCAGTTATTTTCAAAAACATCACATGTGTTTGATCCATTAGCATATAATGAAGAGGATTTGTTATATAATGCTGATAGGGAAGTATGTAATTCCAACATATATTTATACTATGTCCTTATATCCCTTGGGTTCTACATAATAATTGTAATTATCTGTAGATAATTCCAATAGCAATTCATTGTGTGGCAGAAGAAGGCTCAGATGAACCAAAACAATCTCACACAACAATTGCAGTTGTTGAAAAACATTCAGATGGAACATATGTATTAAAGGCACTTAAGCAAAAGCTTTATGTTGATGGTCTTTGTTATTTGCTTCAAGAAATATATGGTATAGAAAATAAAAATACTGAAAATGCTAAGGTATAAAAGCCATGTTTATATTAAATTACATTTATTTTTTGGAATTATTATTAAACCATCTTGTAGCAACAAGGCAGTGATGAAGATACAGATGATAATGGATCAGAATGTGTTATTTGCATGTATGATGTGCGAGACACATTAATATTGCCATGTAGACATCTATGTTTATGTAATGGTTGTGCTGATTCTCTTCGATACCAAGCTAACAATTGTCCAATATGTCGTGCTCCTTTTAGAGCTCTTCTTCAGATCAAAGCACTGCAGAGATCAACTGGGGCTGTTATATCAAACCCACCATTACCAGAAGTTAATACTTATTTTTACATATTAGTAATCACTATGTAAGAAATTTTGATAGATTTAATAACATTCAACTAATAAAATGTTAAATGGTTAGGGAAGTTGTGAAAATATTCCATCTGGCTATGAGGCTGTATCATTAATAGAAGCATTAAATGGTCCATATATTCCAAGAACTGCTGTTCTTGCACCAGAATCTCCAGACACACCTGATACAGATACAGCAAGTGCAATACAAGCAGCTGAAGCATTAAATAGGTAAAATGCTTTACAAATTACATATTTTGTTTTATAATTTAATTAATTTAAATATTTTATTTAATAGATCTGTTGAACGTACACCTGTATTGAAACATGCATCTTCAAAAGAAGTAGATACATCTGCTAGATCAAGTGGCACTGCATGTCCTACTCCAGAATTTCGAATGTCAGTTTTATTGGCTAGAGACGAACATTCAGGTTCACAAAAAGACCTTCATACCCGATCTCCAGGAATGAGGATGAAATCCTCCGGGCATATACGCGAAAAATCTTCCTTAAAATCTCGAGATACTCTTAGACTTGTTAACGAAAAACAACCTGTTTCTCTTTATGAGGTGATTTATTGATGTTTATAAATTAGTACTTCCATTCATTTCTATGACACTTTAAATACAATATTTAACTTTTGTCCATTGTTTGTGCATAAGTATATCAATTAATTTAATGTCGACAGCTTCTAGAATTGACTGTGAACTTCGGTGAAAAAAATTTGGAAATTTTCAAATTATAAATATTCCAATTTCTCGAACAGTGTGCAAAAGTTAATATTAATTTACTACATATTGTTAAGTAAATCAATACTTATAGGGACAAGGACAAGATGACGATAGTGAAGCAGAAAAACTATCTCCTTTATTAGATGCAGCAACGAGTACAGAAGCACTTGATACTCATAATCATAGAATATGTGACATAGATGTTGACGATGAGATTCAAAACACAGAAAATGAGAATGATGCTGATGCTACATGCCATT